GGGGTGTCACAGAGCTGGTGGGGTGTCACAGAGCAGGTGGGGTGTCACAGAGCAGGTGGGGTGTCACAGAGCAAGGTGGGGTGTCAGAGACAGTGGGATGTGAAAGTGTAAGTGGGGTGTCACACAGCAGGTGGGGTGTCACAGACAGAGCAGGTGGGGGTGTCAGAGAGCAGGCGGGGTTGTCACTGCGGGCGGGGCTGGGTCAGAAAGCAGAGACCAGGGCCTGGAAACACGCAGCGTCACTGATGGCATGGAAGCTGTGAGAGCCTAAGGTGGCCAGGATCCACTGGAAGAGTTGGGAGTGGGGTGGGGTTGGGGACAGAAGTGTCCCCAGACCTTGTGGGGACTTGAGTCTCGGGTGAGTCTCCTGCAGCTGGAGGTGGGAGAGCTGGGCTTCCCCAGGAGTGTCCCAGGTGTACAAGACCCTCCCTGGCACCCCAGAGGGACTGTTCGGCCCTCGGCTTCCCGGCCGGTGATCGCAGCACCGAGTGCTGGGCCGGCAGGAGGGCCAGGCGCGCGGCTGTCCTGGCAGGTGTGACTGCCTCTGGGAAGAGCGGCTCGGAGCGGGGCCGGGCCAGCCGCCCAGGAGGCCCGCTTGCAGCCCTGTGGGCTCTGCCCAGCGCATCATTTCCTGTGACCTCGGCCCCACTCAGCCTTGGTAGAGCGAGTGGCTCTGTAGAGAGGGGTCTGGGAGCGCCACTGTGTTGGGGGCTGGGTTTGCAACTGTGCTTCCCCTGGGGGTGTTCAGGGATTGGGAAGGGGGAGGGCGGGAGCCCCTGTCCTCCGTGCAGGACGGGCCCCACACAGGCATCCTCTCTAGGGATGGCCCGGGCCCCGTGCACTCCCAGGGCTGAGGCCCCCCGGGGCGAGTGAGCCCAGAGGATGAAGACAGTGCCCCAGCCCCAGAGGTGGAGGCCCGGGCTCCCTGGGGTCTGCCGCCGCCGTGCACCCCTCCCCTCTTTCTGCCTGTGACGGGCGGGCCACAGCCCGTGTCCCCGTGTGAGACGTGGATGCTCGTGAGAGCTGGGCTGAGGGCCCCTGGGGCTCCGGCGGGCGGGGGCCCACTCACCTGTCCTCCTGCCACAGACTGATCCCGCCGCTGAACCAGCTAGAGCTGCTTCGGAACCTCAAGAGCAAATCTGGACTCACCTTCAGGTGAGCGGGGGCGCCTGGGCTGGCGCTCGGAGCACGGCGTCTCGGGGCTTGGCAAGGGGCTGGCAGCGGCAGGATGCTGGTGGTCGGGCTGCCGTGGGACCCGGTGACGCCGGTGGCTTTCCGCTTTTGCTGACCCTGGTCTCGGCTCCCATCCTGAGGGCGGCTGGGTGTGGGGTGGGCACAGAGAGGGGAGCTCCATGTGGGGCCAGGAGGCTGGTGCTCTGGCCTGAGGCGGGAAGAAGAGTCCAACCGTGCATGTCCCTGGAGCGTCGGGTGGACACACGCGGTGGCACCTGCTGGTCCTCCCAGTCACAAACCCTGCGACTCCTCGAGTGCTTGATGCGGGAGGGGCGTGCGGAGGAGATGGGTTGGGCTGCAGGAGAGGGGAGGGGAGGGTGCCCGTGACCAGGCCTGTTTGCAGACAAGGAAGGGCTCTCAGTGGGCGGAGCGGCCGGAGTGGGTTGAATGGTGCGCCCCCACCTGCCCTGCAAAGACACATCCATGCCCTGGAACCTGTGAACGTGACCTTATCTGGAAAAAGCCTTCGTGGGTGTGATTAAGTGAAGGACCTCAGCTGTCCTGAGCGTCGATTGTGGAGGAGCTTCCTCCACACTTCCTCTCTGAAAGTTTGTTAACGTCGGTGGTTCTGATGAAAGCGCGTGTCCATAAACACGGGGCGGTAGCAGCCGCAGCCTCAGAACTTCTCGTGACCCCTTCCGGATTCCCTCGTGGTGGCAGGCCGTTCCTGCCCCTCACACGCAGCCCCCGGCCTGTGGGAGCTTGGGGGGGCAGCTGGGCTGTGCACGGGGTCGGCCCGGAGGGCTGCCCGCGAGCAGGCTTGCACTTCTGTTTGCAGGAAGGAGCCCCAGCCGGAGCCGTCCCCAAGGTCAGTGCCACCTGCTCCCGCTGCCTCGGCGCCTGCCCTGTGTCCTCGGGGAGCGCGGGCTGCCTCCGGGCTGTGCATGCTCCTGTGTGCTGCTGAGGGTGGCCCCCTGCCTGCTGGTGATGTGGGCCCTTAAATCACGCTTCCTGTGTCCACGCCCCCTCCCAGGCCCTGGGCCTGCTCGGCAGCTGAGGGGCAGCTCCTGCCCTCCCGTGACTGTAGCCCCTCGGACCGGACGCGGGGGGCTTCCGGGGGAGCAGTCCTACCAGCTCCAGCACAGGGCCTGGGCTGTTCTGAGCCGAGGGCGACCCAGGTGGACACTCCCACGGGGTGTCCCCCCGACACTGCAGGTCAGGGTCAGACGGTGGGAGGAGGGGCAGCTTTGAGGAGGGGTCTTCGCATCACCCCTGTCAGGTCTTGGTTTGTGGAAGGTTTCTCGAGGAGTGGGAGAGGGTCCCCTTTGGGGCAGGGTCTCCTGCCCTGCTTCACAAGCCCTCGGTGGGGACCAGTCTCCCCCTCCCTGGGTCTGTCCAGGCCCCTGCGGTTCTGTTTGCTTTAGGCGAGCTTGAGGCTGGGACCCCGAATGGGGACTCGCAGGGATGATTTCTGCTGGAGGCAGAGGAGGGATGACAGCACCCTACTGTTTTCCTAGTGTTGGAAAAAAAAACCCAGATCAGTTAACAACGTTCAAGTTGGTGACCTCCAGCCTGTCCGCGTATCGCTGTGTACCTCTGAGCTCAGGGTCCCCCGGCGCCCCGTCTACACCTGCAGAGGGAGCCCTGTCCCCAAGGCCGTGGGCCAGAGACGCTGCCTGCCCACATTAGTGCCCTCCTGGATCAAAGGCGGCTCGGCTGGCTGCCCAGCTGGGGAGGCGTTGGGCTGAGCCCACCCTCGGCATTCATCGGAAGGGGGCACGTGTCCCCACCCCCACGTCCCCAAAGGGGGATGTCAGCTGGGGCCTGGGGTCGGAAAGGTCGGCAGCGCTTCTGCCCCGAAGCAGCCCAAAGAGCAGCAGTGGTGAACCCCTCAGACCTGGACCAGAGCGGGTTCAGCCCAGGAAGCGACCTCTGTTTTCCTGGGCAGGCTGGGAGCGAGGGGGGCCCGACGCGGGGCTGTGGTCAGGGCGGGCTGGGAGGGTCGTGCAGCAGGGCCTCGCGTGCTTTGTGGGATCCCGTCGGTGCTGCCATCTGCCCTTTCCGTGAGCCCCGGGGCCCTGAGGCCGGGGAGGCGGCGCAGCTGCCCTTGGCTCGGCCAGGGTGGGCGCCTCTCTGGCCCTCAGCGCGGCTCGCCCACCCGTCCGGCCCCTCTGGCCTGACGCGGCTTCCTGTGCTCGTCGCCCTGCTTTATCTCCTCTCCCGACAATTTTCGTCTCAGCCTCTCTCTCTCTCTCTCTCCTCTCCTGCCCTCCCTCCCCCAATCTGGAAAATCTTGCCTGCCCCCCAAGTGCCTTTAATCATGTCACTGCCCTTCTCGGGCCCCTTTCACGTCTGCTCTGTCTTTGGGGATGAGGTGGCTGACCCTGAAAGCAGGACTCAAGGTGAGGATACGCGGGAGCCCCCCGGCTCTCCGGCACGTTCTGTGGCTCCCCCCCCCGCCCCCCCGCTTCCTGCTCCTCCCTCCCTCCCCTCGTGTCCGTGTGTCCCTGCCTGTGACCCAGCGGCTTCCCCTGGGGGCCCCGGGCCGAGGCCCTGGGACAGAGGCCCTGCCTCTCCTGGATGCACACCTGTTAGCCAGGAAACAGGTGGCATTTCTGTTCCCTGACTGGAGCAGCCGTGAGCCCCTTTGTAGCGCCCAGTGCATAGTAGGTCTGCAGGAAATGAGCCTGCCACAGGACCCACGGCAGGGTGGGCCTGGCCCTGGGCTGCCTGGTGAGGGGACCCTGTCCCGTGAAGCACAGGTGGATGGGGTGGACGCAGGGACCCTCCCTCAGCTGCCGTGAGAGCCCCGGTCCTGGCTCAGGATGGGGGCGTGCCCCGTGGCTGTGTGGGCGTCAGACCAAGGCGTGGGGCTGGGGGCGGGGCAGGTGGGGGTCTCAGGCTGTGCTGCTCTGGGTGTGGCTCTGACCTGCCCTTTGACCCACCCCATTTCTGACTGCCCCCGCCCCTCCCATGCCTGGGGGAGCCCCTGTGCCCCAGCCGCTTTGCCCCTGTCCTGTGGCTCCCCTCTTCGTCGTGGGGGGCAGTGTGCCGTGTTCGGGTGCGTGTCTGTCCAGTCTGGTCTTGGTGAGTGTCCGTGGGCGCCTCTTCCACCCTCTCGAGCCCGGGCCCCCCGGGCTTGCCTGCCGGCAGTTCTGATGGGGTGAAGCTCCACTTGGCTGCTGTGGGCAGGAAACCCCAGCACCAGCCTGGAACCCAGAGGCAACGGGCTGGAGTTGGGGCTCCTCGCCCCCCCGAAGCAGAGGGGCAGTGGTCGGGGGGGGCCAGGCCACCAGCAGCCCACCTCCCCCTGCTCTGTCCCACTCTCAGGCCGCGCTGTCTCATGCAGGAGCCGCTGGCCATGTGAGGCTGTTTAAGTTTTCGTTACAATTAAAGATAGTCACTGCGGTTAGAGAGCCTCTCCCCAGTCTCGTGTGCTTGGGAGCCAGGCGTGGGGCGGTCGCCTAGGAAACGGTGGGTTTGGCGGTGCTGGGCTGTGGGTAGGCGAGCGCAGCGAAGCTGGTCAAGGTGGGGGCTTGGAAGACCCCGCCCCGCTTGGTCCTCTTTCCCTGGGGAGGAGCCTCCAGGTGGGGCGGGGCGGGGCGGGCCTGGGGACCCCTGGGGGGAGCTGGCCATGGGGATCCAGTCTTTAGGGTCCTTATCTGTCCTACAAGCCCTGGTGGGACTGTGGCTGCCTCGGGGGTGCACTCTGGAAGAGAACATTTGCCCTAAATTTGAGGGGCTCCTGCTGGCGGGGGGTCCAAGTCCTGGGGAGGTCTGCCCCTGTGTGGGTGCGCTCGGTGGACAGCTGGACCCCAGATCCCTCCACCCGGGGTCGACCTCTAGTTAGTTTTGTTCTACAACCCGAAGTGACTGGGGAAGGTCCCACTGGGGAAGCGCGCACGCTCGCAGGGGACTGCATGCAGGGCGAGGCCGGGGCGGCCGAGCGAGGGCTCCTTGAGGAGACTTGACCTTGGCTTGCTGGCGTCAGTGGGGAGATCCTTGTCTGGACGCTGGCAGGGGCCGTCGGTGTTTACGTGAACGTGGGGACGCTGAACACGTTTGTGAGTCAAGACCGCTGGCCGCGTCTGGGTTCCTCAGGCACAGAGTTTGAGAACCAGGGTCTCAGAAGCAAAGGTGGGGGCAGAGAGCGAGGCCCTGGGGAAGTGAAGGGTTTCCTGAAGTTCTTGCTGGTTCTTCTCATTTTTGATTACAAGTTTTCAGGTTCTAGCGCAGAGCTGAGTCTTGGGCCTTTGGGGAGGTTCTTGGGCAGGGTGACCATGGGCAGCGTTTCCTGAAGAGCCGCCCGCAGGTCCGTCTCTGCCCTCAGCACGGGGTGGACTTCACCCAAGGCCCGACCTTGGCAGCCCTTTCAAGTCCAGGAGCCCCAAGCCCCCTTCTCCTTAGCTCCCCTCCAGGGAGGGGCAGCCACTGCCTTCTGGGTAAACCGAGGCCACTTCTGATCGGGCCGCTGGCTGGGTTGGTTTGTGAAGCCAAACTTGCACGTTTTTCCTCTGAAACGTGAGCTTTCTGGAATCCTGTCCTTCTAGAACCAGCACAGCCTCAGCCCATGTATTATTTTTGTTGTTGTTGGCATGAATATAGCAAAAAAAAAAATAATACATCTTTTGAAAGACGTGGCCCCAAACTGACGCTGGAAGGAAAAGGTATTTTTGGAGGAAAAAACTGGGATTTTTTTTTTTCTCTCCAAAAATAGGGACTACTTTTTTTCCAGGCCGACGGAGGACTTTATGCGCGGCTCCCTCGTTCTTCTCGCTGAGACGCGAACTCTGTAGCGGGTGCGGCTTGAGCACAGAGCCGCCCCGGGTGGTTGGTGCCTCGTGTCCCTGCGCCTCCTGCCCGCGCGCCCGGCCCAGGCTCCCTCTGGTCGCGTTGGGTCGCCGGCACCCCCGGGACTAACTGTCCTCTCCTCATTTCCAGTAAAGGCAGACGGTGCACAGAGTCCCTGTGTGGATGCTGCCCAGGACACGCTAGGTACCTCAGACACGTCGCTCGGACGACCATTGCTGCACGGCTCTTGTCCCCCTCCCGCTCCAAGCACTTTGCTTATTAGAGGTTCTAGATGCGCCAGGGAGAGGCTGCCGCCCGCCCGGCCCCCCAGGCCCCGATTCTGATTGGCAGCTCGCCTCCCGGCCCCTTGGTGGAGCCCTAGGCCCCCTCTGGCTCCAGACGACCGACCGCCTGGGTGATGGTGGCTGTGGAGCTGTAACCCCTTTCCTTCTCCCCATGCCAAACGATGCCGTGCTCCAAGCAGGAGGGGGGCCGGCCAGGGGCTCTGAAAACCAGAAAGGGCGCCTTCAGGGGCCTGACTGCTCTCCCGCGAGCCTTTTTTCCATGGCTCGTCCATCTAGCACCTCTACTATGCACGGGAGGGCCGCTGCCCTCAACCCGGAGCCCGCCCGCCCACCCGCCGGGAGGCAGCTCTGTCGTGTGTGTGCCCGCTCCCCGCGGTCCTGGCACACCAGACACACCGGAAAGCCAGAGGTCCATGGCTCCCCCTCCCACGTGCAGGCCTGGTTTAGGGCAGGCTGGAAACGGGTCGGTGAAAGGCCGCCCGATCTCTGCCCCATGGGCTCCCTGACTGCCGGCACGTTTCCTCTCTCTGTCCCCTATCTGCTCTCAGGGGTGTGGAAGCGTCTGTCCTCCTGCTTGCTCTGGGGCCCCCTCCTGCCCGCCCCTCCCTGACCCGTGCGGCCCTGCAGGTGCACTCACCGGTCATCGTGTGCATGTGGTCCGTGATGGCCCCGGAAGCAGGGGTGCCGAGCGGCGGGCATGGGGAGGGGCCGGGCAGCAGGGTCAGGGCTCCAGGGCGGCGGCATGCTTGCACATCTGCATCCGTGCATGCTCTGAATCCTTCTCGCCCTCGAGAGGGGCCCGGAGGGTCGCCTGCCCCCACCTGCCCGTGCTGCCTGTGTGTTCCTGACGTAAGGCACCGTGGGGGAGGCTCTTGCAGCCCCAGGAGGGGAGATCTGGGGCCCCGGCAGAAGCTGTCCTGCTTGCCCAGAGCTGGCGTCCAGGGTGCTTCTGGCCACAGGCTGGCCGGTCGGGTCGGGGGCTGTGATCAGGCTGCTTGGGAACCAGAAAGGCCAGAGGTGCCCGTAGCCGGGCCAGGAGCCCAGGCCTCACTTGGCCCTGCTGTGTGCGTCTCAAAGACGTCACTTCGTCCCCCCCCCCCCCCCCCGCCGCCTTCCCTGGGCATCCAGTCCAGCTGTGGGCCAGGCGGCTCTCTCTGGATGCCGGCTCCCTCCCCGCTGAGCGGGGCCCTGGCCGGCCGTGCAGACCAGGGTGCAGCCGAGCTCAGCGGGGCCCCCGCTTGACTGTCCCTGTTGATGGCTGGCGCCACTTGTTGGGAACTTTGCCCTGGGGAGGGTAGCAGGCAGGGGAGGGGGAGGAGAGGCTGGGCCTCGCTTTCTCCCCAGACCCTCCTGAGCTTGGCCCTGGCCCCGTGTCAGTGCCCCCCACTTGGAAGGTGGGCTGGCCCGTGCTCTCTCCTGGGGGCGGGCTGCCGGAGCCCCGTCCCGCGCATGCTTCTGTCCTCGGCTTGTGAGGTGACGGAGGGTCTCTCTCGACACCTGCAGGACCGTCGGCGTTCGGGCACCTGGAGTTGAGGCAGGCCTGGGGTGGCTGGGGGCTGCGTGCCTGTGAGCCCTGAGCTGTGATGACCGTGGAAGTCCAGACAGCCACCCGTGGCCTCCTCCAGCAGGGCACCCCTCCCTGGTCTGAGCAGTCTGAGAGCCAGGGACGGCAGGGCCAGGCCAAGGCCAGGGAAGGCTCCTTCCTGGGGCTCTGTCATCGCGGTCAGCTGCATGGGCCCAAGTTCTGGGGGCCCCTGTGGTGCACGGGACAGCAGGCCCAGCAGGGGTCCCCAGCAGTCCTGGCTTGGTGGGGCCCTTGTTTCACGGTCTCCCTGGACCAGCTGGTGGTCTCCTTCGGGAACAAAGGAAGGAGAGGGTTATCTTCATAGCAGCCTCCATAGCCTGGCTCTGCTACCTCTCGGTCCCCACCCCTGTCTGGGCCTCGTGCCGGGCACAGCAGTTACAGGCTTGCAGACACCCCGGCTCCTGTGTTCATGGGGTCTCTGGAGGAGCCGCCCCGCTGAGTGGGCTCCATGCCTCGGGCCTGAGAACCAGCACAGATGGTCTTGGCTGCCTGGGGGCTGGTGGGCAGGGGCAGGGGCACCGGCCTGGACCACAGTGTGCGGGCTGGCTGGACCAGGCCACGGGCTGCTTCTTGTCCATGGTGGGCCATTTCTGCGCCGTCTGACGACGTGTCTCTGCTGTGGGTCCCCTTTGGGCCGATGGAAGCAGCTGACCCGGGCCATCTGTGGTGGGGCTGGCGCTGTCTGAGGGATTAACTGGTGGTGGGAGCTTCCCAGCGACAGCAGAGGCCCTGCCAGACACCCATGCGGGCTGGTCCCAGGCCCCAGGGCGGCGCAAAGCCCCCTCGGGAGGTTCTGAGTGTGGCCCCTGAGTGTGGTGGCGTGAGTGGGTTCATGGGGGCCTCACTCTCCTCCTGGGCAGGTGGTGGAAACTGTCCACGGGAGGAAATGAGTGGCCGCCTGGCCCCGGGCCTGACCTCACCCTGACCAGAGACCGCCCTTGTCTCCTGCCTGCTGCCTGGAGGGTGTTAGAACCAACAAACGTGGGGTGTCAGACCCGTCTCCATGGTTACCAAGAGACGGGGTCAACGAGGCCCAAAGACCCTCACGGGGCTGTGGCTGTACGGCCGTGGTCGCCCCCTGTCTGCGGCCTCGGGCCGGGGCTCGGCCGGCACCCATAGCATCCCTCCGGAAGTGTGGACGTTCCGTTCCTGGCCGTGTCCTGGTGGGGGGTGGAGCCTGTGCGCCCTGGGTGGAGGGGAGGTGGGCAGACCCTGGCCCTCGTGCTGCTCTCCGTGCTCCCCGCCCCCCGACCTGTTTCGCCAGGCAGCTCCCTGGGGTTCGGCCGAGGGGCCCGGGGGCCAGCTACAGACCTCACCCTCCTGACCTGGGGCAGTTACGGGGGTGGAGGGCAGGCACGGTAACCGCTGGAGTGGCCGGGGGCCCTAAGGAGGTGCCCAGGGAAGAGCTGTCATTGCCCAGGGCATTTGAAGAGGGAGCCTGGTTGACAGTGTGGCGAGGTCTCAGGCACCTTCTGGCAGTAGCTGAAGGTGATTTCAGAGCCCACTGACCACTCCCCGGCCAGGCTGAGTGCTGAGCGGGCCCCGGAGAGCCTGTGGTGGAGCTGACCTGTCCCCGCTCGCCCTAGCGACCCTCCCGCCCCGGCCCGTGCTCCATCCCACGGCCAGGGCACCCCGTCCACCCACCAGGAGCCAGCGGGAGCGAGTGTTCTTTGCAGAGTGACCTCTCTTGCTGTCTTTCTGTGTGTCTGTCCGTCTGTCGGTTCTCGCGGGAGCAGTCAGAAGGTCAGTTTGAAAGACCGTGTCTTCTCCAGCCCCCGCGGCGTGGCTGCCAAGGGCAAGGGGTCCCCTCAGGCCCAGACCGTCCGGCGGTCGCCCAGCGCCGACCAGAGCCTGGAGGACAGCCCAAGCAAGGTGCCCAAGAGCTGGAGCTTCGGGGAGCGCGGCCGCGCGCGGCAGGCCTTCCGCGCCAGGGGCGCTGCTTCCCGGCAGAACTCGGAAGGTAGGTCGGGCAGCCCTCGAGTCGGGGTTTGCTGTCCTGGAGCTCCATGCGATGGGGCCACACGGGCTTGTCTCTTGCGTCGGGCTCTGGTCCCCGAGCTCCGTGTTTGCCAGGCCCACCCGTGGAGCTGGTGCCGGCGCATCACTGCTTTTACGGCTGACGTTCCCCGCGTACTCTGTGTGGACGTATCCCACTTTGTCCTTCTGTCTGTGCACAGGGGTGCCCTCTTACACCCTTGTGGTGGCTGCTCCCTGAGGAGCACAGTGGAGGGAAGCAGGCTGGAAAAGCAGGACGGGGGCGGGCTGGAGTGTGGGTGTGCCCGGCGGAGGCCCCCTCGGACACGCGTGTGCTGCGGGGCCGGAACACTAGCCCCCCTCCATCCCGGGGGTGGCCCAGCCCCTCACGGGCTGTGTCCTTCCACCCAGAAGCAAGTCTCCCAGGGGAGGACATTGTGGACGACAACAAGAGCTGCAACTGCGAGTTTGTGACGGAGGATCTGACCCCGGGCCTCAAAGTCAGCATCAGGGCCGTGTGGTGAGGACCCAGCGGGCGCCCTCGCAGAGTCGTCCACAGACGCGGGGCCTTGGGGGGCTGGTGTGAGGGCATGCGCTCGGGAGGGATGCCTCGCGGCCGACACCCCTTCAGTCTGGCCCCCGCGGCTCACGAGGCACTTGCCGTCCCAGCCGTCGCCTGCGTCCCAGGTGCCAGGTGCCCAAGGCTGCTAGTAGACGGCTGGGAGCTGCCGCGGCACAGGGGTTTCTGGGTGGACACGGGTCCTCTGCGCAGCGGGGCCCAAGTGTGGCTGGGGTACGAGACAGGTGGGTGGCCCAGATGACAGGGCCGAGTCATCCAGCAGACGTTCTCGGAGATGCTGGGCAGGCCAAGGCAGGTGGGCGCTGGGGGGCTGCCTTCGGTGACCTCTGCCCAGGGCTCACAGCCTGCCGACCACCCCTCCAGTGTCATGCGGTTCCTGGTGTCCAAGCGCAAGTTCAAGGAGAGCCTACGGCCCTACGACGTGATGGACGTGATTGAGCAGTACTCGGCTGGCCACCTGGACATGCTATCCCGCATCAAAAACCTGCAGTCCAGGCAAGAGCACCTCCCCTGCCTGCCTGGCCCCGGGGGCATGGAGCGGAGTCCTCCGGGCCAAAGCCGGGTGGGGTTAGGGACAGGGGCGCGGCGCAGCCGCACACTCCTGCCAGAGGTGGGGCGGTGACGCGCTGTGGGCGCAGCGGCCGGCCCTGCTAGCTGCCACATCTGGGCCCTTCCTCTCCGGCCCCGCGTGGGCTTTCTCCCATGTCCTGGCGTGGTCTGTTTTTAACCTTTCTGTTGTCTCTCTCTTCTCTCCTGCCCGTGCTGCGATGGGCAAGCGTGTATGTGTTGTGCACACACACGGGCGTGCATATGCACACACGTGAATGCACGTGTCCAGGCCTCGGGTGCATGTGTGTGTACACGTGTGTGTACAAGTGCATGCATGTGCATGCGTGCACGCGGGTGCAACACATGTTTTGGCAAACGTGTGGGTGCGCGCATGTGTCTGTGTGTGCTGTGCCATGTGTGTCGTGTGTCCACGCACGTATGTTGCCCACGTGTGCCCGTGTGTGTTGGGGAGGGGAGTTAGTTCTGTTGAGAGGTGAAGGTGCAGGTTTCCGTGGGCCCATCAGGCAGCAGCTAGGCCACGTGGCACCTCTTCCTCCAGAACGGAGGGCTGGTCGTCCCTCCCCAGTGCACAGACGGATTCCCACGGCCGGAGCAGGCGGTGGGGCTGGACATGTGCCTGGTGGGCCGCAGCCGGGCACACGCTGGCGCTGCCATCTCTGGCCCCATGTGAGCGCTGGCTTGCTCACCCCAGGAGTCAGCTGTACACACGTGTATACAGACACAGCAAGGACCCAGGACGTGCACACACACAGACCCATGTCCACTCCCACATGCCCACGTGTGCCAGCACGCGTGTGTACACACATAGCCATGCTCTAAGCCTTGTGCTCACATGTGTGTCCTATAGGACCGACACACACACACCGAGTACGTGTGTGCTCGTAGGCACGCACCGTCCACACACAGACGAGCGGGCGCACACACGTGTGTCTGGTGCCTGGGAGGAGGCCCGTGGCTGTCGTGGGTCTCTCCCGGAATGGACCCCGCCTTCCTGCCGGTCAGGCCCCTCCTGGGGTCCCTCCAATGAGGTGGCTGCCGGTTCTCTGGCCCTGAAGCCTAGGCCCTGGCCGTGGGGGTTCTGGGTCGTTGGGGCAGTCCTGGGGGTCAGCCCAGATCCCAGCCCCATGGCAGGTGGCGTCTCCCCGCCCTGCTCAGGATGCCAGGGGAGGGGCCCCTCTGGGCCTCTGGCTGCTCCCGTGGGGTGAGGCCAGGGCACAACCCCTCCCTGTCCCCAGGCTCAGGCCGGGAGGCCATCTGCTCAGCGGCCTCCTTGAGCATTGAGTAGACCTGTGTGTTTGCGCGAACACGCGTGCAGTTGTGCACATGTAAATAATGTGCGAGAGCGTGCACGTGTATACATGAGTAAGTACACGTGTGCCCATGCGTGCAGACTTGAGGGTGTGTACATGTGTGCGAGCGTGAATGTGTCCACGTGTGTGTGCAGGTGTGAGCACACGCGTGTGCATGAGAGGCCACCCTGGGTCTTGACGGCCGGCCCGCCGCCACTCATGATAGCAGTTTTTTTTCACGAGGCTCTTCTGTCCTAGGCCGTCCCCTCTCCCTCCCCTTCTGTCTGGAAAACAGACGAGACAAACAGACCCCCGCAGGAACCAGATGTCTGTCGCTTGCTGGCAGGGCCTTGGTGTCTTTCCCGGGGCCCTTTGGCACTTTGCTGCCAGCTGCCAGTGTCCTTGGACGTGCACCCTTGCCCGGGCAGACGGTGCGCCGCGAGCTCGTGGCCTCACCCAGTGCTCGCTTGACCACATCTGAGGTCACGGGAGCGCAGTGTCCCTGCGTCCCGTTTGTAAGAAAGGTCACGGCTGCTCTCAGCGGGTCATTCATTCTGTCTCTGCAAGTTTCCGGCTGCCTCCCCTTTCATGTTGCTTCACGATGCATTTTCCTGGTGTCTCTTTTCTTGTTTACTCGCCAGGATAGATATGATTGTGGGCCCCCCACCCCCTTCAACTCCCCGGCACAAGAAGTACCCCACCAAAGGACCCACGGCCCCTCCGAGAGAGTCACCCCAGTACTCACCTAGGTCAGGATGCCGAGCCTCCCGCTTGTCTCTGTGGAATGGCCAGCCCCCTTCGCTCCAGCCACATGACGGCAGCACCCGCTCTGCTCGACGGGACGGAGGGGCTGTTTCTCTGTCCCTGACAAAACGACGTCCTCTGCAGGCCCTGGCGGGCTGGGTTGGGGTGCCCTTGAGCTGCTTCTCTTGGCGGGGTCCTGGGGAGGCTGTCTGGGGGGCTCCTTTCCACCGACCCCTGTGTGGCGTCCGCTGGGGGTGGGGGCTCCCTGGGCAGAAGAGGGCGGCAGCCCCCCAAGGATCAGGTGCGTTTAGACGTGGGGCCCTGCCCCAGCACCACCTCAGACCCCTGCCACCACCTGCCGGTGGGTCGACCTGGGCTGCTGTGTGGACTGAGCACGTCCTGGCGGGAGCCCAGCTCCCGGGGAGTCCCCAGAGCTCTGGGGGCTCTATTTCCGGTTTTCACCATGGTCAGAGTTATTGAAGAAGACGATCCCAGCCAGTGGGCAGAGTGGGGGGCAGGCAGTGAGGCGGTGAGTCAGCAGAAGCAGGCTCGTTGGTGATGAATTCAGACTTGGGAGCCTTCCTGCTCCCCCAGAGCATGGAGATGATGGCTGCGACCCGCCCCCCAGCAGGTCTGGGAGAGCAGAGCCCAGGGCAAGGATGTGGGGTGAGGGCGGACACGCCCGGCCGAGTAGGCAGAGGGGCCCAGGGGCGTCCCAGAGGCCGGCAGGGATGCTGGCAGCTGGGCCATTGGAGTGACTGGGGGCACCCGACCCTTGTGTGCCCAGGTTTCTGTGCGTGAGGCCGAGGGTCAGTGTGTGCTGGGCATCTCAGCCTGGTGGCTCTCCCATGAGAAAGGAATTTCCTGGGGAGCAGGCCTGACCCCGGGCAGCCCAGACAGTGTTTGCCGCGTCCCCCGCTCTGCCCGTGTCCTCCAGCCCCAAGGAAGCTGTACCCTGAGACAGAAGCCCACCCTCCTGGGCATTGCTGCAGGGCACAGGGGCTGGGCGTTCAGAGCCACGGGCTGGGAAGGCCCTGCCAGCCCTTGGAGCCCTGCAGGCCTCCCGGACCACTGCAGCCAGATGCCCACAGAGGAGCCAGAAGGACGGGTTAAGCCCGAGGCCCAGGGGAGGGGGTGGCACAGGCTCCACGGAAGACCCACCGGGGGCAGCTCCAGGCTGACCCTGGGCCAAGGCTCCCAGGGGAGAGGCCGGGAAGGCGGCCCGTCATGTGGCAGGGGTGAAGGCGCTGAGCGCCCGTGCCTGGACTGTGTGGACGCCTGGAGCACCAGACAACCCTCCTCCCGCTCTGTCCCCACTGGCGTCTGCTGGGAGCCCGAGGGCCCCACGTCCGCCCTGCCACCGCATGATCGAGCATGACGCCCCGCGGAGCATGAGAGGCTGCCCCGCGGCCGACGCAAAGCCTGATCCCCGCCTGCTTTCTGCGACAGCAAGGACAGAGCACCCTGAGCCCCGACAGGCAGTTAGGGCCGTGCTGTGGGTGAGGACGGCAGCCGAGCAGGCTGGCAGCTCCCGTGACGCTGCTTGCGGAGTAGGAGCTGGCGCCCCTCCCCACTCGGGAGCTTGGGTGGCGCACTTCGTGCATGAGGCTCCAGAGAAGCGGCGGGGCTGTGTGGCCTGTGCCTGGGTGGCTGTCCCGCCCAGCTGCACCCTGGCCCTGGTGCATTTGCCCAGCGTCCATGTGGCTGCACTTCTGGGGCTCAGGGTGTCGGGCGCCCACCCTGCCACTCCCAAGGTCCCTTCCGAGCCCCTCAGTGGCCCTTCCCGTTCAGCACAGGGGACAGGGGATGCCGCATGGGTCAAGCAGAAGGCCCCCTCCCTGAAGGAGGCCTCCTTCCCCTCTTGTTGGCATTCGTGACTGATGGCCTCGTTTGGGGTCACCTCAGCTGCGTCCTGCTTCTCCCACATGCGTGCGCACACACAGGCCCACGCACTCTCACACAAGTGCACGCACAGGCATGCACGGTAAGCACACACGTGCGCACGCACGGGCACGCACGGACCCCCTCTCTGGTCGCCGGCGGCTCTGTCTGTCCCCTCCTCTGGTTGTGCGTTGGTGGTTCCCTGTGTTGGTCTGTGTCCCCTCCCCCGTCCGGCGCACGGCGCGAAGTCCTCACGCCCCCCTGCTTCTGTGGTTCCCGCTGCAGACGTTTAACTCCGTCCCCTCCAGACCCCGGGTGGGCAGGGGCCTCGGCGGCACGTTATCCAGGAGCAGAGCTCGGGGGTGGGGGCGGGGGAGCCGAGGGGTGCTTGGCCCCAACTCCCTTCTCTTTACCCCTTGCTAATGTGCCAGCCCCACTGGAATGGAACGGTCGGGGGACAGGCCCCGAGGGCAGCGGAGGGCAGGACGAGGGCCAGGCGCCCGGGGTCCATCTGTCCTGGTTCCTCGCTGCCCCCCGGTCGGCTCTGGATTCAGCCCGGAGCCTGGATCTGGTGGCTGCGGCCTGGCCCAGGAGGAGAGGGCCACGGGCTCCGCCGCTCCCACCTGAACTCACGCTGGGGACGGGGTCTCTTCCCGGCAGAGTGGACCAAATCGTGGGGCGTGGCCCGGCCATAGCAGACAAAGACCGAGGCAAGGGTCCGGCTGAGGCAGAGCTGCCCGAGGACCCCAGCATGATGGGACGGCTGGGGAAGGTGGAGAAGCAGGTGGGAGAGTCTGGGGGTCCTGGGGTGTCGGCACAGATGCTGCGGGGGAGAGCTCAAGCTTTGGGGGGAGGAAGGGCTGCTGTGTTTGGACCCTGGGCCCCCAGGAGCACCCCCCGGGCCTGGGGCACTTCCCTGACGGGAGCTGAGGAAAGGAATGGCCAGTTCTTACCCTCTGTAGAGTTTGCTCTGAGGGGTGAACCCACAGCGGACACAGGGCGGCCCAGACAAGCAGGAGGGTCCGTGTTTGAAGTCCTGAGGCCACACACACTGACGGGTGGGGTCAGAGGCTGAGCTGCTGTGGGGGGTCTGCCCTCCATTGCCTCTGCACCTCTGTGGGAAACATCCTGGGCCGCCCCCCCTTCTGGGGAGCAGCCCAGTTTCCCCCCCCCCCCCGGGGGCGGCCCCGCTCCCCCCCCCGGGGGGCGCCGGGGCCCCCCCCCCGGGGAGCAGCCCAGCATGGCCTAGCAGCCCCTCCTGCAGGTCCTGTCCATGGAGAAGAAGCTGGATTTCCTGGTGAACATCTACACACAGCGCATGGGTGTCCCCCCGACGGAGACCGAGGCCTACTTCGGGGCCAAGGAGCCAGAGCCGGCGCCGCCATACCACAGCCCCGAGGACAGCCGGGACCACGGCGGCAGGAACGGCTGCATCATCAAGCTCATCCGCTCCACCAGCTCCACGGGCCAGAAGAACTTCTCGGCACCCCCAGCCGCGCCCCCTGCCCCGTGCCCGCCCTCCACCTCGTGGCAGCAGCAGTGCCACCCGCGCCAGGGCCACGGCACCTCACCCGTGGGGGACCACGGCTCGCTGGTGCGCATCCCGCCACCACCCGCCCACGAGCGGTCCCTGTCCGCCTACAGCGGGGGCCACCGGGCCAGCACGGAGCTCCTGAGGTCGGAGGATGGCCCGGCCTGCAGGCCCCACGAGGGCGCCCTGCGGGACAGCGACACGTCCATCTCCATCCCGTCCGTAGACCACGAGGAGCTGGAACGCTCCTTCAGCGGCTTCAGCATCTCCCAGTCCAAGGAGAACCTGGACGCCCTCAACAGCTCCTACGCCGCTGCCGCCGCGCCGTGCGCCAAAGTCAGGCCCTACATTGCGGAGGGCGAGTCGGACACGGACTCGGACCTCTGCACCCCGTGCGGGCCCCCGCCGCGCTCTGCCACGGGCGAGGGCCCCTTCGGCGATGTGGGCTGGGCCGGGCCACGGAAGTGAGGCCGCCCGCCGGCCTGCCCGTGACTCCTGGCCTCCCGGGCTCGAGGCGGACCCTCCAGGGCCCTTTGCTTAGAGCAGCGCAGCGCGGGTGCCCGTGTGTGGTGCTGGGCAGGCGCGGCCCTTGCTCTCGCACTGAAGGTCGGCAGAAATTCTTCTCCAGCGAGGGGCAGCCCGGCTGGCCGTGCCCACTCTGCAGACTCTGCAGACTGCTGGCCTGGGCGTGACAGAGGCCAGGGTCAAGGCTGAGGACGGGTCCCTGGCGGCTGGGTCGAGGCGTGGGCTGGGAGCGGGGCCGGGTGAGGGTGGCAGCGAGGGGCAGGCCTGTCTTGTGAGGATCAGTGGCCTTGAGGCCTCGGTGGGCAGTGGCTGGCCCCTCGGGCGTGGCTTGTCTCCGCCCCCCCTTCCTGTCCTGCCCCATCTGTCTTGGGTGCCCACCCAGAGCTTCTGGTCAGTGTCGCCCTCCTTCCCGTGGGTTCTGAGTGTCCTGTGATGGGAGTCGGTCCCAAGTCCAGTACCCTGGCTTGCAGGGGGCAGGGTGGCGAGGCTGGGGACCACCCCAGAGCAGAGCAACCCTCAGACCTCCCGAACCTGGCTCTTGTGGGGAGGGGCCTGCTCCACAGGCTCCTGGAAGGGGGCTCTTGGGGGCTCCCTTCCGGATGTGGAAGATGGCGGGTGTGCCCCCGTGTCCTCTCCCCTCTGCCCTGGCCGGGTGCTGGTCATCAGGCTGTGGCCAGCACTGCTATATGGACCTGCCTGTGGGGAGAGGTGCTGGGAGGCTGGGGCACTGCCCCACACTGGGCTTGTGCTCTGGGGTCCTGGGCCGGGCTGATTGTGGTGAGCAGATGTGCACGCTGTCCTCCCTTGGGGACCCTGCCTCGCCTGTCTCCCATCAGCCCCTGACGGGGCCCGGGCCGGACAGTGCCGCAGCCATCGGGGAAATCTTCAGTAGGGCAACCCCCGCCGTCCAGAGGCGAAGGCAGCTCTGTCTCATAGGCGTCTCTCCTGTCCCTGCGGAGCTGACCGTCCCCCACCTGCTCTCCTCCACTGACCGGCCCCTTGGCTGTGACCTCTTGCTGTCTTGGAGTCAGAGATGCCCATCCCCACCCTGTATCCTGGGAAGCAGTGGCCCCCATCATTCCTATCCCGGGCACCTGGGTCTGTGGGGCAGCAGCTTTGAGCTGGGATTCCAGCCCCAGGAGGCGGAGTGGACCCTGTCCTGGGCCCCCAGCTGTCAGTGCGCGGGAGCCTCTGGCATTTGGGGTGACAGGACAGCAAGCCTGGGCCCCTAGCGCCCTCTGAGGCAGTGACCTGTGCACCAGGGCTGGGCCCGCTAAGCCCACTGCATAGCGGCTTCCCCCGGAACACACGGTTCAGGGAGAGCCTCGCTGTCTCCTCAGGGTGCTTGTGTCCGTCCTGGTCAGTGAGGGAATCCGCTTGCTCTCTGGGAAGGACTTTGAAAGCAGCATCATGTGCCCCTGGCTGTCAGGGTCCTGACGCTCTGAGATCTCTGGGGAGCAGTGTCTGCAGTAGCCTCTGTGCATGGCTCCCGCTCTTGCCAGGACACCCAGGGTCCCACCCGTGTGCACCTCTCTGCTGGGGCTGCTGGCCAGGCGGCTGGAGGGTGGGCTGGGCCTAGTGCAGGAGGATCCAGGCTCGGAGTCGGAAACTGTGGTGTGTGCTCAGGGCCGCAGCACGAGGATACCCCTCTCTTCCAGCCTCCCGGGAGGGGTTGGTCGTGGAACCTTCCATGTGGCCCCACTGGCCCCCTCCGCCCGGCGTGTCTGCTCTGTGCCCCCTCTCTTGTTCTCAAAGGCAGTGTTTCTCCACCTCAGACCCTCAGTGGTGAGAAAAGCCCCTCCCAGTGTGGTACTCGGTGTGGCTGGCGTGAAGGGGCCCCAGCAAGTGGCCGCTCCTCTGCGTGAGGTCTGAGCCCCCCTTCGCCCTCCTGCCGTGGGAGAGGGAGGCCCCAGCTGCAGGCCCCTGGGCCAAGCACGTCCACATCCTGCCCAGCCCAGCCCCTGCTCTCTGGCCCTGGGAGAGTCAGGTTCAGGCCGCCAGCAGCAGGGACCCTCCCCTGTCGGATCTCGGTGGCCGTGGGTGCTCGGCCCTACTGGGAGGGGCCCTTGGCCACTGGAGAGAGTTTTGTGTCCTGTCCCACACGCTCCCTGTGCCGTGGGCCCCTGGTGACGGGAGGTGCCGGCCCAGACATACCTCTTGTCCCCAGAGCTGCTGAGCCAGACGCAGGCACCAAGGCCACTGCTGGGAGGGTCTCCGAGGTTGCAGCAGGAGGGGTTGAGGCTAGACTGTCAGACGTGCTGCACTTAGCAAGGGGGCTGTGATGTCTCCTCTGTGAAATCGCGGCCCCTTGGAAGACAGGAGACCCATGTCTCTGCTTGAGGGACGGTTTGGGGGGGCAGTTTTGGGAGATGATGGAGTAGAGGCTCCTTCTCAGGGGCCCCCAGACCCCGGCCCAAACAGTGCGTGATCCTCCCAGCGTCCATCCACTGCCCCGGGGTCCCCACCTTCAAGAAGTGTAGAAGGAAAGAGGCCGGGCGCTTTGGGAAGTCGGCGTGCTTCTTGGGCGCGCGTGTGACTGCCGAGGACCAGCCCTGCTCCTCAGCAGGTGTGGCGAACGTTTCCCAGGACAAGCATTTTAGTTACTAGAGCACGCGCCGCCCCCCAGCCCCTGACACACGCCTGTGCTGACACTCACGCCTGTGAACGTGCAGCACACACACACGCACACAAACCGCACATGCCGGCACACAGAGCCATGCACATGCGTTCTCACGCCCCGCCGCACGTGCACACCCCCACGCACGCACGCTCACACACCCATGGGCACACGCTCACACCCCCTCACGCACGCACTCACACACCCACGTGTGCACTCACACACCCACGTGCGCAGACATGCACGCACGCTCACACACCCACGTGCGCACACACCCACGCATGCACGCTCACACACCCATGGGCGCACGCTCACACCCCCCACGCACGCTCACACCCACGTGCGCAGACACCCCCACGCGTGCACGCTCCCACACGCGCACACACACGTGCGCACACACACCACCCATGTGCGCACACTCACACCCACCCACACACCCATGCGTGCACGCGCGCACGCTCACCCCCCCCACGCACGCTCACACACCCACGTGCGCAGACACCTCATCTGGCTCTGTGGCTCTGCCTGCTTTAAGCCAGAGGAATTAACGACTCTGGAGTTGCAGACAGTCCTGGGACATTGATCCCTGGGTCGCGGTTCCAGCTGTCCCAGGCCTCCGGGCAGCACCGGACACGGTCCACTCGAGCCCATTCAGGTCCCCCCCGCCCCCCCCACCCCCTCAGCTGCCCTGGAGGCCGTCCAGGACGTCGGGTCAGCCAGAGACCAAGAGGTCCTGGCGTCCACGGGCGTCCAGCTGTGACGCGGGGGCTCTGGCGCCTCCGTCTGCCCTCCTCAGCCATGTGGCCCGGCCCCGGCCCCCTCTCCTTTCTCTGGCCCAACACCCCCTTCTTCTGTCTGCGTGACAGCGTGAGCTGTGGCTGTCCTGGAGGATGGAGGGACCTCAGTCAGGTGGCAGGGGGCTCCCTTCCGGGCCTGCCTGCCCGGCCCTTCCCCGTGGGAGACCACAGCGGCCCCACCTTCCTTTGGGGGTACTTGCCTGTGAGTCTGCATCACGAGGGCCCCCCGGTGGGCCTGTAATCGCCACGTGCAGCCCAGAGCAGAGGCACCGGCCAGGCGGCCGCTCACGGCTTTCACATGTTGGTTGGTTTTAACTTCTCCATTCCCTGGGCTTGTCCCCCAGTGGCCACTGATCTGAGACGTAAACACGGGAGAGACGGGGGAAGCGTCCTGTTTTCTTCTGCTCCCCGCCCCGTGAGGCAGACGCCCCCGTCCATGCTGTTTGTGGACAGAACGAGGCCCTGGGACATCTCTGGATGCTTCCAAAGGCCTGAAGGGTGGAGGCTGTGGGGAGGCCTTTGTAGGAACCTTGTTTGTACTATTTCACACTCACCCCAAATGTAAAGAAGGTGCTGAGCGCTCGTGGAGGCATCTGGCCCGGATTTCCCACTGCGAAGTCAAGATCGGATCTGCCCCCCACGTCAGACCCTTGAATAAACAAGGTGTGAAGAGGGCTGGTTTGGCAGTGAGGACCCACCTGGAGGGTTTGGTGCACCTGCACCCAGGGAGTTCTGCGCAGCAGGAGGGGCTTCGTGACCCCGTAACCCCCAGTGCACACTGGTTCCCGATCAAACACTCCCTCCCTGGCCGGCGCTGTCCTGCGTGGTCCTCAGCTGCCCTCAGCAGTGGTGTGGACAGCCCTGCTCTCTGAGACCCCTGAGCAGACCTCCAGGCCGCCTGCTTGGATACACGGACGTTCGGTGTGGGGCAGGGGGGCTGGGCTGCCTGCTTGTGGTGCCCAGGGGAGCGTGCATGGCTGTCCCAGGACAGCTGCCTCCTGCGTTCCCGCCCCCAGGGGCAGGCTCCACTAGGGCCGCTCGCCACCAAGTGCCAAGTGGGAGAGACAACTAGGGAGAGCTTCCTGAAGGAGGCGGTGTGCTGGGATCAGGGGCTCATGCCTGCCTTCTCTCCAAGGGATCTGGGAGAGCTGCTACCCAGGCCCGGACACTGTAGCCCCTGGAACCTGCCCCCCCGAGTGGGTCCCACAGTTGGCTGGATTCTGCTGTCTTGTAAGGGGTGGGGGCTGGCGGCAGGCGCCAGAGGAGGGGATGCTGGGGGGAGGGGAGCTTAGGAAGCCGGTAGAGAGCATGAGAAAGAGATGCCCTCTGGGTCGGAGGAGGAGTTGGGTGGTCTCTTGTCTTGGACACTTGCATGGGTGCCCCCGTCCGACAGAGGTGTGGCTGGATGGCCCTGTCCAGAGACACCCTCGGGATGGGCAGATCAGGTGCCAGGAGAGGAGGGGACCCTCATGGGGGGTTGTCCTCGGTCCTGGGGTTTCCAGGTGGGCGAGTGGACTTTGCCAAATGCCGCACGTGCAGCTCTGACTGGGTTTCATAAAGTTGTTGCCTTAATGCACGTTGATGAAAATTCACCAGGGTCACCCCCTGCCCCCTTGGCATCCTCCAGGCACCGACACAGAACCCCGCTGCCTGTCTCCATTCAGGATCTGCAGGACCATGTCCATAGCAAGCGCAGAGTGGGCGGCGGGCCTCACGGCATCACTCCTGCAGGGGCCCAGCCCACCCGCCCGCCCAGGGGTCCCTGTGCCCCCATCCCACGCCGTCCTCACAGCCATCGCCCGCCCTCTGGCCGCAAGGCGGCTGCAGTCCCCGACCTGCGCTGTTGCTTTGGCTGTCTTTGCACTTCTGTTCACGTTCACGCTCCAAAGAATATGTCATGATGCCTTCAGTACTGATGAGCACCGTCTCACTCAAGTCCCTGCAGCACAGCCGGGCCTCTTCTCCTGGGTGTGTCACACACACCCCTCCCGTGACAGGTGATGTGTGCGCTGTCCGTTTTCTAGGGACAGACGCCCAGGGAAAGAACTCTAGTTTTCTATGGACCAGCCGAGATTCTCACTCCACTCACTGTCAGGTTGACACTTGTGCCGCCAGGAGGGCCCAGTGCGGGTCTGCCCGGGGACTGCAGGTGTGGGATCTGGCGGCAGGGACACATGTGGAAAGTTCTGGAAAGCTCTACCGCCACGGGGACGAGTTCGGATGCCCAGTGGACCTGTGCACTTAGTAAAACACAGTGATTCAACCTGGACAGTGTGTGCTCTCTTTCCTTGCGTCTCGGGGCTGCTGGCCTGTGGCAGGGCTCACGCAGGGTTCTGCCCTCCAGGGTGAGGGCGCTGGGCACTGCCGAGGTCCTGTCGCTGCCTTAATGAAGGACCATAAGCCAGTGGCTTACACAGCAGAAAGCCACGCCCACGAACCTGGGCCTGGGGCCTGAGTCCGTCGAGATCCCCACCTGGCCCTTCTCTCCACCATTGGGGCCCTCAGGAAATGGTGGGTGGGTGCCCGTGTGCAGGGCCCTGTTCTCGGGCGTGGGCTCCGCGCACGTGGGTCTGCATGGTGGGTGGAGACCCAGAACTCTCTGCTGGTGCCCGGCCTGGACTCCGATGTCCTCAGAGCCCCTCCTGCTGGGCGTGGCACCTGCTCGGTCATGCGCCCGTACCTTCTCTCCAGAGGCCATCCCATCTCCCACCCGGAGGGTTGCAGCGAGGGCCCGGCTGCAGGTGGGTCTGAGATGCGGCCGTGAGCTGAGCCTCTGTGTTTTCAGCTCTGCTGCCCACTGCCTTCTGGAACTTTCCACCCCACTGGACCCTCCCTGGGCCTCCCGGGGGTCAGCTGAGTAGGAAGAATCGCTCAGCAGGCCAGGACCCCGAGAGGCAGTGAGCGGGCCTGGACTGCTGCCCCACAGCCGCTTCCCAGGCAAACTGGCCTGCAGCAGGGCGGGTTACGGGGGGCCTGGCAGGCCCAGGCCACCCACCGGAGGCATCTGGGCTGCAAGGCTTCCAGAAAGTTCTGGGCTGGGGTGTCCTTGGGTGAGAGCTGGGCTCCTGCCTGCAGGCGCGGGGTCGTCTGCTGGGCTCACCTCTGTCCACCCGGAGCACCAACCAGGGTCCTGCCACGTCCTTGCCCGTCTGATAGAGCCAAAGGGCGGAGGCTTCCAGAGATGAGGTGTCATGGCAGACCCGGGAGGCTGAGCTCTCCCTCCCAGAGGTGCTGGCTCAGGGGTGTGATGGGCGCCTGCTGCCACAGGGCCACTTGGGCATGTCTCGTCTGCTCGCCCCTCTCCCATCCTGAAATCTCCCCACCACCCCTGCCATGTCCTGCCCCTTCCACCTGCCTGGGGGCAGGAAGATGATGTCCCCCCTGCCGTGGTGCATTCCCAGATGGCTGATGAGCTCGTGGGGCGCCTCTGAGTGCCAAGGGTGAACGGGGCAGGGGATCCAGCATGTTGAGCGCGCGCCCGGGGGGATCAGAAGGGGCTGTGGTCACGGAGTGACAGGACACATGGTGGAGAGGTGCTGTGGGCAGGGGCGGGCTGTTGGGAGGCTGGCGGGGAATGCCAACCCCCAGGTGTGCTCGGCTGCTGCCCACCTCTAAGCCCCTCCAGGAAGGACGCCCCCTCTGGCCCTTCCTGGGCCCCAGGGCCACCGCGTCCAGATGCCACTAGGTGGCAGCACTCACCCGGAGGACGGGGACCTGGAGCCCACCTGGGGCAGCCCTGCAGCTCCCAGGGACCCATCAATTCTGAGGTCGGTGCTCGCTTGGAAAGGCTGCCTGGCGGCTTCTGCTTGACGGACGTCCCCAGGCCTGGCCCTGGACTCTATGGTGCCCCAGGAAGGGCCTGAGGGGTGAGAGGAGGGCTCCCGCTGTGCGGGCTCCTGTGGAGGGTGGGCTGGCGGGGAAGGGGCTGGGACGCTAGCTGGGCCCTCAGGCCTCAGGCCAGTAGGAGGTGCTCCTCCCTCCAGGCCCCCTCGGCCTGGGTCCCCGCGTCCGTCCACTTGCTCAGTGCCTGTGCTCCAGCTCCCTCTACTGCTCTGCAAGCCGCGGGCTCACGCAGCTGGGGTGGCTGCAGCCCCAGCCCCGCCTGGACCCTCAAGCCTGCAGCCCACGGGGTCCCAAGGCCACGAGGGGGATGTTCTCGGAATTGGCCCCGGCTCCGCCCAGGACAGGCCCAAAGGCTTCTCTGGGAGTGGTGCCCTTCATTCATTCACTCATTCATTCATTCGCTAAACAGGTTAGTGTCGGTCCCCAGGAGCAGCGACCAGAAAGAGGCAGACACAGGCCTTGGGCTCATGGAGTCTGAAAGCCAGACTGTGGATACCACCTGTGAAGCCTGACCTTTCATGACAGTTGCTGGAGCAC